CGCCACGTGCATGCGGAACATGCTGATCCTGCGGCCGCCGCCGCGAGAGTTCCTGGAGTGCGGGCCGCCGGCGTCCCTGCGGAAGGCGCTCCTGGAGTTCGACAAGAGAGCGGTTTTGTCCAGGGCGGAGGCGAAGCAGCTCGCGGCAGAGCTGGGCTTCGTGCTGCCTTCCGCCTGAGCGCGGCTGCGCCTCGCTCGAAGCCCGCGGGGTTGTCCCAACGGCTTGGTCTTGCGCGCCAACGGCTCGCGGGGTTGTCCCGACAGCCTGGCCCGCGGGGTTGTCCCAACGGCTGCGCGACGTGACCAGTAGAGAACGCGCCTGTGCTGGCCGTGGCGGCGACGGCGCCGAGGAACATCGACATGCGCGCTCATGCAACAGGAAGGGGAGGAGGTGGCGGGGCGCGGAACAAACAGGGGGGCGAGGATGGGGACAACGTAAGGAGTGGAAGGGGGGCCCGCGCCAAGGCGAGAGGAAATATACGCAGAAGAGACAGCCAGGACGCCTCGCCAACCACGAGGACGACGGTGATGGCTTTTTCAAGATTCGCCCAGAGGATTCTTATGTGGGGTTCTTCCGTCGGAGTAATTTATCGAGGATCCGAGATGGGGGGCGCACTTTCCTTGAGCGGGCACGCACGAAACGCACTATTTCAAAACATGATGGACCCACGAACCCGGAAAGGGATATAGACATGTGGAGCATGGACACGTTTTCATGATACCCAACTGGGCAACACCTCACGAAACATCCCACGAGACACCTCACGAAACAGCCCACGAGACACCTCACGAAACATTCCACGAGACACCTCACGAAACATTTCACGAGACACCCCGCGAAACATTCCACGAGACACCCCACGAAACATTCCACGACGACAGGCAACCACTCAACCAAGGCGGTGTGGTCGTGCTGGGGAGTGGTCGTGCTGGGGTGTGGTCGTGCTGGGGGGTGGTCGTGCTGGGGGGTGGTCGTGCTGGGGGGGTGGTCGTGCTGGGGGGTCGTGCTGGGGCGTGGTCGTGCTGGGGCGTGGTCGTGCTGGGGCGTGTGGTCGTGCTGGGGCGTGGTCGTGCTGGGGCGTGGTCGTGCTGGGGTGTGGTCGTGCTGTGGTAAGGTCGTGCTGGGGTGCGGTCGTGCTGGGGTGTGGTCTTGCTGGGGTGGGGTCGTGCTGGGGTGTGATCGTGCTGGGGTGGGGTCGTGCTGGGGTGTGGTCGTGCTGGGGTGTGGTCGTGCTAGGGTGGGGTCGTGCTGGGGTGGGGTCGTGCTGGGGAGTGGTCGTGCTGGGGTGTGGTCGTGCTGGGGTGTGGTCGTGCTGGGGCGTGGTCGTGCTGGGGTGGGGTCGTGCTGGGGTGGGGTCGTGCTGGGGTGGGTTCGTGCTGGGGTGCTCCGCACCCTGTGATTTATCGATCGGGTCGTGCTGGGGTGTGGTCGTGCTGGGGTGTGGTCTTGCTGGGGTAGGGTCGTGCTGGGGTCGTGGTCGTGCTGGGGTGTGGTCGTGCTGGGGTATGGTCGTGCTGGGGTGGGGTCGTGCTGGGGTGGGGTCGTGCTGGGGGGGTGGTCGTGCTGGGGTGTGGTCGTGCTGGGGCGTGGTCGTGCTGGGGCGTGGTCGTGCTGGGGCGTGGTCGTGCTGGGGTGTGGTCGTGCTGTGGTGAGGTCGTGCTGGGGTGTGGTCGTGCTGGGGTGTGGTCTTGCTGGGGTAGGGTCGTGCTGGGGTCGGGTCGTGCTGGGGTGTGGTCGTGCTGGGGTGGTCTGGGGTGGGGTCGTGCTGGGGTGGGGTCGTGCTGGGGTCTGGTCGTGCTGGGGTGTGGTCGTGCTGGGGTATGGTCGTGCTAGGGTGGGGTCGTGCATTTCGCTCGAGACATCCTGCCAAAATTCCAGGAAATCGTACAAAAACAAACGAATTAGTCGAGACATCATCGAAATTCCTTCGCGCGGGGCGCTTTTCCGCGTCGCGGTCGGCTCTGCAAAACAAGCGTTTCGCTCGAGACATCCTCGGCAAACTCTGCGGAGCAAGCGTTTCGCTCGAGACATCCTCAACGCACGAAAAAGTGGCCCGCACCCTGTGATTTATCGATCGGGATTTCAAAAACAAGCGTTTCGCCTGAGACATCCTCAAATTTTAATCCGCCGGCCTCCTTCGACCTCGATATTTATCAGGGAAAAAATCCGCCGGCCTCCTTCAAGTTGGCACCGGGGGACAGGTTTACCAACTAAAAGAGAACCCTGGGCCCCAGCCCTTTCCGGGAAAAAATAAACACTTTACCTTTCTATTTACGCAGAATAATTTCGCCGGCCCTCAACAAGTCAAAACCGTGAGTAAACCAACTAGAAGATTATGGTGGGCTGCCTCCCCCCTGGGGTGGTCCAGTGCGCCCGCACGGACAGTTGGGCAACGCACTCGGTGCGGCCGGCCAGGGGCGCTCGAGAGACCCAACCGAGACCTCGAGACCCCGCCAGCCGACGCACCAGATCCACCAGGGAGGGAGGGCGGGAAGCTGGCGACGCCAGCCAAGAGCCCTTGGCCCGCAGACGAAGCACCGTACGCCAAGCGCCCTCCTGGGGCACCCTCGTCGTTTCGCAGACGCCAACTCCGAGCACCACGAGGTGTGCTTGGGCCCCCAGGGGATCCCCACGGGCCCACACGGGAGCCAGCGACACGGCGCCCCCCTTGCCAGGCCCTCGGGGCGCCAGGGAAGGCACAACACAACTACCCCCTCGGGAGCGAAAGCCGACACTTGATACCCCGCCTCGGACTCGGGCGGAAAACAATGCAGCCAGTAGCGACGAATCCCCGAATCCAGCCATGGCGACAAGGATGCAGCCTGCCCAGAATCTTCTTCCCCAGGAACCATGCTCAGGGACGACAAAGAGAACCCTGGGCCGATGCCCTTTCCGGGAAAAACGCACCTGCTCAACTAAAAGCTCACGCTTTACATCGCAGTTCATCTCAAAATAATTTCGCCTGCCCTAGAGCCATCGGGGCCGGGGGTTAACATACTAAAAGAGAACCCTGGGCCTAGGCCCTTTCCAGGAAAACAAGCGTTTCGCTCGGGACACCCTCAAACATAGAACAAACTATAACACAAAACAAGCGTTTCGCTCGAGACAACCTCAACAAGTTCTGCAAAACGAGCGCTTCGCTCGAGACATCCTCAGAAAACATGATCGACCCACGAACCTGGAAAGGAATATAGAAATGTAACGCATGGCAACATTTTCAAAGACACCTGATTGGGTGACGGGCAAGTGCAATGCTGATTGTATCGATCTTGATGTACCGTGCCGAGGGCTGTGCTGTGCTGCACCGTGCTGAATTGCGATGTGCCATGCCGCGGTTGTGCTCTATAGCGTCGTGGATCGAGTCTTCCTTTGCATCCGAGTCCTGACCGAACTGATCTGGATCTGAAGCTCGAGCTGCCTGAACACATAGTAGCTGCCCCAGAGCTAACTGACAGGGGGACATGCCAGGAGGACGCGCCGCGAAACGTCCCAAGGGACGCGCCAGGCGACGTCCCAACGGACGTGCCATGGGGTCGCACCGTAGGACGTGCCAAGGGGACGCGCTACGGGACATCCTCAAAATTCCTGCGCGCGGGACGTGGCGCGCGCGAGACATCCCCGGAATTCCTGCGAGCGGGACGTGAAAACAAACATTTCGCCTGAGACATCCTCTGAATTCTGGCCCCCCACGAGGCCCCCGCTCGAGACATCCCCCAAGTTTGCAAAAACCAGCGTTTCGCTCGAGACATCCTCAACAAATTATGAAAACAAGCGTTTCGCTCGAGACATCCGGTCAAAATCCAAGGACATCGTGGCAAAACAAACGAATTAGTCGAGACATCCTCAAAATTCCTGCGCGCGGGACGCGGCACGCACGAGACATCCTTGGAATTCCTGCGAGCGGGACGTGAAAACAAGCATTTCGCCTGAGACATCCTCTGAACTCTGGCCCCCCACGAAGCCCCCGCTCGAGACACCCCTAAATTTTGCAAAACCAGCGTTTCGCTGGAGAAATCCTCCACATACTATGTCAAACAAGCGTTTCGCTCGAGACATCCTGCCAAAATTCTAAGAAATCCTGATAAAACAAGCGAATTAGTCGAGACATCCTCAGAATTCCTGCGCGCGGGACGCAGCACGCGCGAGACATCCTCGGAATTCCTGCGCGCGGGGCGCTTTTCCGCGTCGCGGGCTCCAGACCCCGTTATTTGTCGAGGATTCTGCGAAAAACGCTCCGCACCCTTTTTTTTACAAGGGAAAACGGGGGTCTGCGGACCACGTTTTTTATCGAGGATCCGAGATGGGGGGCGCACTTTCCTCGAGAGGGCACGCACGAAACGAACTTTTTCGGACAAATAACACTTGACCTCTTTATTTACGCAGAATAATTTCGCCGGCCCTCAACAAGTCGAAACCGGAAGGTAAACCATCTAAAAGAGAACCCTGGGCCTAAGCCCTTTCCGGAAAATACTCCGCCGACCCTCGTCGACCCGTTAACTATCGCAAAATAATTCCGCCGGCCCTCTTCAAGTCGAGGCCGGGGGGTTAACCAACTAAAAGAAAACCCTGGGCCTAAGCGCCTTCCGGGAACTAGAAGAGAACCCTGGGCCCAGGCCCTTTCCGGGAAAAATCGTTTCCATACGATTTTTTGAATATTTTGAATACTCCTTCTGTAAAGGGACGTACCCGACTTAACCCCAGACCCGATCGATTTGTGAGAACCCCGCGCGGCCCGAAACACGGCAAACATCGCCCGCTGTGGAAAAATGCCGCGCCAGGATCTCCGGGAACCTAGGGGCTCGACCCCTTTCGCCTGGCCCGAACCTCAGAGGCGACGATAGGGGCGAATAACCCAGGGGAGAGCAATACTACATGTATTCAGGTGCGCCGATGATCTGTGTCTTCGAAAAAGCTCCAGCTCCCGCGCGAATACGTGTAATGCCCGCCCCTGGGCTATTCGCCCCTATAGTCGCCGCCGAGAACCCTGCAGGCGGGGCGCCTGCAGCAGCGCCACGTGCGGGGCCTCGAGGCCCGCGGCGCAGTCGGCGCGGTCCGGGTGCTCCGGGGCGGCCGGGCCGCCGGCATGGTGCGCGAGCAACGGCGCCGGCGGGCACGAGACCGCTGGCAGGGCGTCCGCCGGCGGCGGCGCAGTCTAGCGGGCCGAGGGCGGCGGCGGAAGAGGAGGAGGAGAAGGAGGAGGAGGAGGCGGAGCAGGAGGAGGGGGAGGAGGAGGAGGAGGAGGTGGGAGTGAGGAGGAGGAGGAGGAGGACGAAGAGGAAGAGGAGAAGGAGAAGGAGGAGAACAAGGAGGAAAAGGAGGAGAAGGAGGAGGAGGAGGAGGAAGACGAGGAGGGGGAGGATGCAGATGAGGGAAAGGAAAGGGAGGAGGAGGAGGAGGAGGAGGATAAAGAGGAGGAGGTGGAGCAGGAGGAGGGGGAGGAGGCAAAGGAAGAGAAGAGGATGGACAGAGAGGACGACGACGACGAGGAGACGAAGATAAGAGGAGAAGGAGCAGGAGAGAAACAAGGAGAAAAGAGGAGAAAGGAGGAAGGAGGAGGCGGAAGAACGAATGAGGGGGAGTATCAGATGAGGAAAGGAAAGAGGAGAGGAGGGAGAGGATGAGGAGGATAAAGAGGAGAGGTGGAGCAGGAGGGGGGAGGGGGAGGAGCAGAGGAGAAGGAGGAGGAGAAGATTAGGAGGAGGGGGAGAAAGGATGAGGAGGAGGAAGAGAAGTGGGAGAGGCAGGAAGACGACGAGAGGACGAGGAGAACGAGGAGAGGAATAAGGAAGAGGAGTACGGAAGGAGGCGAGGAGGAAAAAAAAAAAAAAAAAAAAAAAAAGAACTAAAAAACAAAAAGTGGATGGAGGCAGAACGAGAACGGAAAAGGGAAGAGGAGGAGAAGGGGAAGGAGAAGGAGAGGAGAGAATGAGAAAAGAGGAGGACGAGGGGGAACGAAGGAGGGAACAATGAGGAATAGAAGAAGAAGAAGAAGAGGAGACGAGAGGTGAAGGTAGGAGGAGGGTGAGGAGGAAGAGGAGGAGGAGGAGGAGGACGGAAATGAGGAGGAGAAGGATAGCCTAGGCGGCGGAGGAGGAGGAAAAGTGAAAAGGCGATGGAGGAGGAAGGAGAAAGAGGAGGAAAAGGAAGAGGAAGAGGGAGGAGGAGAGAGAGGAGGAGGAGAAGGAGGAGAGGAGAGGAGAGGAGGAGGAAGGGAGGATGAAGAAGGACGACGAGGAGGACGATGAGGACGAAAAAGAAGAGGAGAAGGAGAAGGAGGAAAAGGAGGAGAAGGAGTAGGAAGAGGAGAACGACGAGGACGAGGATGCGGAGTAGGAGGAGGATGAGGAGGAGGAGGAGGAGGAGGAGGAGGAGGCGGACGAGGAGCAGGAGGCGGGGAAGGAGGCAGAGGGGAAGGAGGAGGCAGAATGGGAGGAGGAGGAATAGGAAGAGGAGGAGGAGGAGGAGGAAACAGAGGAGCAAGGGGAGTGGGAGGAGGAGGAGGAGGAAACAGAGGAGGCGGAGGAGGAGGAGGAAGGCAGGGAGCAGGAGGAGGAGGAGGACGACAAGGAGGAGGAGGCGGGGGAGGAGGCAGAGGAGGAAAAGGAAGAGGAAGAGGAGTAGAAGGAGGAGGAGGAAGAGGACGACGAGGAGGCTTAGGAGGACGAAGAGGAATAGGAGAAGGAAAAGGAGGAGGAGGAGGAAACAAATAGGAAGGAGGAGAGGTAGGAGCGGGAGGCGGAGCAGAATGAGGAGGCTGAGGAGGAGGAGGAGAAGGGAGAGGAGGAAGAATATGAGGAAGAGGAAGAATAGGAGGAGGAGGAATAATAGGAGGAGGAGGAGGAGGCGGAGGAGGAGAAGGGGGAGGGGGGAGGAGAAGACAGAAGAGGAGGAGGAGGAGGAGGACGAGGAGGAGGACGAGGAAGAGGAGGAGGAGAAGGGGGGAGCCAGAGGAGGAAACGGAAGAGGAAGAGGAAGAGGAGGAAGATGAGGGGGAGGAGGATGAGACCGACGAGGAAGACGAGGAGGAGGAAGAGGAAGAGGAGAAGGAGAAGGAGAAGAAGGAGGAGGAAACGGAGGAGGAGGAAGAGGAGGACGACGAGGACGACGAGACGGAGGAGGAGGGAGAGGATGCAGATGAGGGAAAGGAAGAGGTCGATGAGGAGGAGGAAGAGGAGGCGGGGCAGGAGGAGGGGGATGAGGCAGAGGAGAAGAAGGAGGAGGAAGAGGAGGAAGACTGGGAGACGCCGAGACGGTCGCCGCTGCTACAGAGATGCCGTTGCAGGATCCTCCTCATCCGTCTCATCCTCCTCATCCTCCTGTCGCTCCTTATTGTCCTTCTCCCCTCTTGATCACCCTCCCCTACATGCGGAGGGGGGAGGGGGGGGAGGAGGAGGAGAAAGAGGAGGAGGAGGAGGAGGAGGAGGAGAAACAGGAGGAGGAGGAGGAGGAGGAGGAGGAGGAGATGGAGGAGGGAAGAACACGCACTAGCAGCTGGGGTGTGGGCAGACCTCGGGAGCCGCCACCTGACCACGTGGCCCCGCTGCCCGATCAGTTTCGGAAGGAGGCCAACGAGCTGTCGAGTTCAGCGTCGGGGTCGGCCTCGAGCGACGGTCCTGCTGATCTCGAGAAGGTTCGGATCCTCCTCCTCCTCCTCCCATCCGCCTCATACTTCCTCCTCCTCCTTTCCCTCCTCACCAGCCTCCTCCTCCTACTACTCAAGCATAATCATCCTAATAATACTTGTACCACGTACAATTACGATCCCCCCTCCCTCATCCTCATCCTCATCCTCAACAGATCCTCCTCCTCCGCCTCCTCCCTCGTACTTCTCCCCGCGTTCTCGATTTACTACTCAGATTCACATCATCATCTTCATCCTCATGATACTCCTCCTCCTCCTCCTCCTCCTCCTCCTCCTCCTCCTCCTCCTCCTCCTCCTCCTCCTCCTCCTCCTACGTATCCTCCGCCCGTTTCTTTACGTTGCGCTCAGCATCAAGAGCTTCTGAAGCTGTTCGAGGCGTGCAACCAGCAGCGCGAGGAGGCCGACGAGATCGACAACGCGCCTGACGGGTACCCCAGGGGCGACTTGCTGGGCTGGTTGGCGTCCGTGGGCTTCGACTTTCCCGCCCGCCAACGGCACGGCTGGCTCCAGGCTCTCGGGGTGGATCAAAACGCACGGGACCCCAGAGAGGCGACAAGAATACGACCAGCTGCACCCGACAACCAAAGCAGCTTGGCGCAGGGACTGGGCCGAGGAGCGCTACGAGGTGCTCAACGAATGGAGGAGCAAAGTGGAGCGCTACCAGGAGACCGCGGCCAAGACGTACCCGCTCGTCAACATCGACACGATGATCCAGAAGGAGGCGGGGGGGAGGGGCGCTACCCTTTGGTGATCAGAGGCTGCCTGCGCATCGCCGAGGCGTGCGTTCGGCACTGCCCTCCGTGGGTCCAAGTATCTGCGCAGAGCGGGGCGCTGCTGCTTCGCTACATGGAGATCGAGGACCGCCAGGGTATGGTCAAGCACTGGGATACCAACCAGGAGGACAACAATGGAGACGGTGGTCGCGGATCAGCCTGCCGACGCAGTCGCGACGCAGCGAGCCAGAACCTGCACAGAAGAGGTCAAGCCATTGACCAGGGGGGGCAGCAGCAGCACCTATGACGCCACCGCCAGTCGAGAAAGGCAACGCCAAGGGCAACGGGAAAGACAAGGGCAAGGACGTGAAGGCCAAGTCCAAGGCCAAAGACGGCAAAGGCAAGGAAAGAAATGTCACAGGCAAGGTCCCCAAGACATCCAAGAAGGAGAAGAGCTTGGCCAAGAAGGTCGAGGACCTCCTGGGCAACGACATGAAGATCCTCATGACCGCCAAGAATATCATCTCCAAGATCGACAAGCAGGACGACGAGTAGAAGTGGGCCGAAAGCGAATTCGGGAAGACCCTCCGCAATGCTTACAAGATCGCCCAGGACGGCACCGACAACGACGAGACGCTGCAGAGTGTCATCATGTACGGCGTGAAGAGCTACATCAACAACTGCGACAGTCAGAAATCTCACAAGTCCAGCCTGGATGACGCGTGCGCCCACGTCAACCGCATCCGCCAGATGAAGGATCTCATGATGCGCTGGTGTACAACACGACGGGCTACTCTGCAAGAACACGTACGTCGGCTGCATCAGCGTTCTGATGGAGGGGGTCGACATAGAATGCATTCGCTGGCGTGGACTCGCTAGCAACGGGTTTCGACTGCAGTCCAGGGGGCCGAGGAAAAACCGAGAACCACTTCCACAAGCAAGTGTGAAGTTCAAAAAGGCATTCTGAATGTTCTGGGCACCACACTGCGGATTCTGGAGAGTCTGGGCACCCCATGGGCACACCTCAATGAGGCCACCGCCACGATGAGGCTGCTAGGAGGTAGCAACGAATGCAAATTAGCAAATCAGTACGCCTACAATGCCTCATCGCAACCTCATCGCAACCTCATCGCACCCTCATCGCGCCCTCAGCGCTGAGGAGTGCGACGAGGTTGCGATAAGGTTGCGATGAGGGCACGTTGAGGGTGCGATGAGGGTGCGATGAGGCTGCGATGAGGTTGCGACGAGGTTGGGATGAGGGACGGTGGCCTTTCGAACCGTATTGAGACCCTCGTGGGCCTTCGCGCGTTCTCCTTCGGGGCCCTCGTGGGGCTTCTCGATTATATCTGTATATATATACACCTATACGACCACCCTGCGGGTGATAAGGAGGTTGGGGGGGAGGACCTGAGAGAAGACCTCATTCGCTGTCTCATTCGGTCTCACTACCGATCTCACAATCGATATCACTATCCACGTCGTCATCATCATCATCGACATCACCATCAACATCATCATCATCATCATCATCATCATCATCATCATCATCATCATCATCGTCATCATCGTCATCATCATCGTATTCATCATGATCATCAGCATCACCATCAATCATCATCATCATCATCATCAATGTCGTCATCATAATCACAAACATCAACACCATGAAGGCCATCATCACCATCAGCATCGCAAAATCGATCTCACAGTCGGTGTCACTACCGATATCACAATCGATCTCGCAATCGACGTCATCATCATCATCATCAACATCATCATCATCATCATCATCATCAT